GCCGAATGTCATGCGGCTGCTCCAGGGCATGCTGCACGAGCGCAACGCCTACGTGCGAGGCCTGCGCTCGGCGATGGAGCTGCTGTGCGAGGCCTGCTGTTCATCACCGTGACTTGCAACCCGCTGTGGCCGGAGATAACCGCTACTCTGGAGCACCAGTACCTCGGACAGCACGCTCAAGACCATTCTGAGATCATGTCGCTGGTGTTTCGCCGGAAGGTCCGGGCACTGATGACCACACTCCGGCAAGGCGGTGCCCTCGGCCGCGTGCGCGCCTCCATCTACACCATCGAGTGGCAGAAGAGGGGCCTGCCGCACGCGCATATCGTGCTCTGGCTGGCGCCGGAGGACATGCCGCGTCCCGACCAGCTGGATCACTTTGTGCGCGCCGAGATCCCGGACGCCGACGCCGAGCCGGAGCTGCACGCCATCGCCACAACCAGGATGGTGTACGGACCGTGCGGCACCCTCCGTCCGACGGCGCCGTGCATGGTGGACGGAGCGTACAAGAAGCGTTTCCCGAAGGCCTTCCAGTCCATTACGGAGGTGCACGACACGGGATACTCCCGGTACCGGCGCCGCAGCCAATGTAGCGGAGGACGCACGGTGCAGCTCAACGGCTGGCCGGGCGGCGCCGTCGACGTCGACAACCGGTGGATTGTGCCCTACAATCCGTTCCTCAGTCGCGCCCTGGACGGCCATGTCAACATGGAAATCATCACCCACGCCGTCACGCGCATACGGTACGTCATCAAGTATGTCATTAAGGGCGGAGACCAGGTGATGTTCCGGGTGTCGGCTGGGGACGAGGTGGTGGACGAGATCGCCGCCTACCAGCAGGGCCGCTACCTGAACGCCATGGGGGTAACGTGGCGGCATTTCGGCTACCCTGTCCACGGGCACCAGCCGCCAGTGCAACAGCTGTCCGTCCACCTGGGCGGCGACGACCAACCGCTGTGCTTCCGCGCCGGCGTAGCCCGCGTCAAGTGGCGAAGGACGCTGGCGCCGACACCAAGCTCACCGGCCTCTTCAAGCGGTGCGCGGAGGACGAGTTTGCCCGGACTCTGCTCTGCCACAGTGTGCCGCGCTACTACACGTGGCAGACGAGAGCTTGGTGCTGGCGTCGGCGCCGCCGAGGCAAGCCGGACGTTGCCGGCATCTTCGCCGCTGAAGCCATCGGCCGCGTCTACACCGCCAGCCCGCGTGCCGGGAGGCGTTCTAGCTGCGCCTGCTCCTCCACAACGTGCGTGGGCCGCGCACCTACGAGGAGCTGAGCACGGTGGATGGCCAGGTGAGCGCCACCTTCAGGGGTACATGCTCGGCACACGGCTTGCTGGAAAACGGCCAGCACGGCACCGGGCCATGGAGGAGGCGGCCGTCGTCGCCCTCCCCCGCCAGCTGCCGCGGCTGTTCGCCGTGATCGCAGTCGAAGGCCGCGCCAGCGGGCCATGGAGGAGGTGGCCGTCGTCGCCCTCCCCCGCCAGCTGCGGCGGCTGTTCGCCGTGATTGCCGTCGAAGGCCGTGTCAGCTGCGATCTGCTGCGACTGTGGCACACCTTCCGGCACGCCATGACCGAGGACGTGCGCCACCGGCTGTCGCGGGTGGGCGGCGGCGGCGGCGTCGGCGACACCGACGAAGCCGACGGCAGTAGCGGGAACACCTAAGACACCGAGCACGAACCTGGCATGCGGCTCATCTACGACGCGACCCTGCGCCTCATCGGTCGTCATCTGCGCCGCCTCAGCGGCCAGAGGCTGGTCGACGTCTGCCTGCCGCAGCCGGCCGGCGCTCCAAGCTCGCCGATCGCCGAGAACGGCGGCGAGGCGCTGGGCCGCCAGCGTGCGCACGTGGCCGCCCGCCTGCCGCTGCTGACCGACGAGCAGCGCCTCGTCTACGACGAGGTCATGCGACGGCTGGACGCGGGCGGCGGTGGTCCCATGTTTCTGCAGGCACCGGGAGGTAAGTAAGCAACCGCACTTTCAGAAGCGCAAAGTTTTGGGATTGCATCACGCCATCTGTGTCGTCAATGACGTCCGCAACCCCGCAGGGGCACCGGCCTCGGCCGGTATAGGGGACTAGCGCCCCCCCGGGTCCCAGCTCCGGTAGCGGGTGGACAGCGCAAGCTGTTCCTCTCAGGGCGTAGCGACCCTGCCGGTACGTGAACTCCTGCTCCTTGTCCCGCGCCACTCCCTCCACATTACCCGCACTCCCGCATCCGGCCCTATCACCACTCTTCATTCTCGTTTTATCGGGGTCACCGTGCCCCCTCGCCCACGTCCCCGGGTTGATCGGATTCTGGTGGCTGAGGGGCGCGTCGTGCGGGTCAGTCACGGTGCGTCCCAACACTCCACTTTGGCCAGGATATCCGGGGGCGTGGGGGGCCCGTGCGGCCCCACACGGGTCTAGCAACTTGTCGCTCGCGTTGCGGTTGGGTGCTCCTTGCTTGGGTGCTGGGTGGTCTGTGCGGGTCTCCGCTTGGGGCGCCTGGCAGCACGCAGCGGCTTAAGGGGTCAAGGGGCGGCGGCGCTGAACCCCGATCAGGACGGGGAGGGGTCTCCCCGGTTACACCTGGCCGTGTGGGAGGCGTCGTTCGCCCCGTGTAGCGCCGGGGTAGCCTGGCGGCACCACCACCCCCTGGGTGAGTGGGTCGTCCCCCAGTTGGGCTCCGAGATGGGTGTGGAGCCTCGGTGTCGCACGCTAAAATGTTACATGCATGACAACTTTCATCTAAATAAAAAAACACACTAAATAAAAAAAACACGAAAGAGGGGCAGACTGAGGCTACAGGTGGTATTGCGTCAGCGCCTACCCCTCGAATCTTGATTTTCTGAAGCGCAGAGAAGCCGCTGTCATCCCTTTCGCCCTTTCAAAGGCAAAATGGGTGTGATCAGTTTGGAAAGGTACTTGTATCATGATGTTACTGGCGTGCACCCGAGGCCGCCCCTGCTCGCGCCGCCAGTGCTGGTGCACCTTGGTACGCCGCTGCCCCGACTGGCGGTGTGTTGCCTGGGGCGCCGCCCGCCGGGGTCGGCGCCGCCCGCTCGCCTCGCGGGTTAATACAGTTGCCGTCTCGCAGCGCTCGTGCCTGGTCTGGGCAGACAGAACACGTAAGACTTGAATATGGCGCAGCCGCATTGGACCCGGAGTAAGCTTAAGCAAGCATGAGTAACACAATAATTTAAGCAGTGTGAGTTGTAAAGCAAGTCGAGATGCCTGGATTTTGTCCTCCTGAGGAATTCGACTTCACATCGTCTGAGAGGTGGCCGACCTGGCGCGATCGGTTCGTCGGCTACAGACTGGCATCGGGACTACACAAAGAGGACGGTGACGTTCAAGTAGCTGCGTTGATTTACAGTATGGGTCCGCAGACTGAGCATATCTTACCAACATTAAAGCTTACTGCTGAGCAGAAGGAGGATTTTGAAGTTATGGTCTCAAAGCTAGACGGGTACTTCATTCCGAAAAGGAATTTTATTGCAGAGCGTCACAACTTCGAGCTTAGATATCAAAGCTCAAGCGAGGCTAATGAATCGTCCATCAGAGCTTTGTTCTCTCTAGCTGAACACTGCAGCTTCGCTGACGCTGATGAGCGTATCCGAGATCGTCTCATCTCAGGAATGTCTGGCAAGGAGCTGTCCCGTAGAATTCAGCTGAAGTCACTAGAGGAGGGTCTGTAAATATCGTCATTTCGATGAGGCGTAATGTGGAGATCGTGAAAGGCCGTGACAGCTCTGGTCCGCCTGACATCAGTAGAGTTTGTGCACCGGCGCAGCACAGGCAGCCGCGCCGGCAGCACCAGCAGTACAGACGTCAACAGCAGCCTTCCACCGCGCAACGGCAAAAGCATAGTCGGCGCACCGACTTTTCAACAGCATGCAGATACTGTGGAAGAGCACGTCATGTATCCCCGAAAGATTGTCCCGCTAAGGGAAAAATTTGTGACGACTGTCAGAAAATGGATCATTTTGCATCTGTTTGTCGCTCCAACGGTGCCAGAGCGATTGAGCGGACAGAGTCCATTGAACAGCTATCGCCGCCCAGCATTTTTGTTGGCGAAGTAGACGAAGCTTGCGCGCCATGGAGAGTTTCGGTCCTTCTAAATGGTCAACGAGTCGCTTTCAATGTTGACTCTGGCGCTGATGTTAGCATACTGACGCTGAAAACGTACAAGAACCTGAAACTGCCCCCGCTTCAACATGCTTCAAATACTCTGACAAGTGTTGGTAGCGTGCTAAGAGTAGAAGGAAAGATGCACGGAACACTCATGTTCAAGAACAAAGCCGAGCCTGAAGTGTTCTACGTTGTTGACTCAGTTGATGATCTCTCTAGGTCTGCTGGCTCGCGCATGGGCGTACTGAGGTTCACAGGTGAAGTCAACGAAGACGTCTTCGGAGAGGCAGGCCTTCTGAAGACAGTGCCGGTCAGCATTCAGCTCCGTGAAGATGCTGTTCCAGTCGCCCTTGCCACTGCAAGAAACATCCCGCTGCCACTGATGAAGCCGGTGGAAGAAAAGCTGAAGAAGATAGAGCATCACGGCATCATCACGTCGGAGACCGAGCCAACGGACTGGGTCTCTGCACTGGTCCCCGCCCCGAAGCCGAAGAGCAGCGGTGTCCGCATCACGGTTGACTACAAGAGACTCAACCAGTCTGTGAAGCGACAGGTGTTCCCGATCCTTACTCTTACTCTGGAGCAACTGACCTCCAAGCTGAGTGGCGCGACGCTCTTCACCAAGATAGACGCCTCTTCTGGTTTCTACCAGATCCCGCTGGACAAGGCAAGCTCCAAGATGACCACGTTCATCACTCCGTTCGGCAGGAAGAGGTTCCTGCGACTGCCGATGGAGATCTCGCTCGCAGTGGAGTGCTTCCAGCGGAAGATGGAGGAGATGCTGGACGGACTGCCCGGAGTCATCGTCTACATGGACGGAACCGTGGTGTTCGGAGATGCTGCCAGTCACGATGCACGTCTCGAAGCCGTCATCAGGAGGATCCACGAGTCTGGCCTCAAGCTGAACAGGAAAAAGTGTGAGTTCCGGAGGAACGAGGTCAAGTTTTTGAGGATGAAGATCAGCAAGAATGGCATCAGCATGGACGAAGAGAAGCTCGAAGCGATCCAGCAGCTCCAACTGCCTAAGAATGTCAATGAACTAAGGTCTCTGCTCGGAATAATCAACTTCCTGGGCCGGTTCATTCCACACATTCATGAGTGCTTGAGACCACTGAACGAGCTTCTGAGGAATAACGTAGTATGGATCTGGACACCAGAGCAGCAGCAGGCGCTGGATGACGTGAAAGCAGCCGTCACTTCAGCTCCAGTTCTGGCGTTCTACGATCCAGCACGAGAGACGGTGGTCAGCGCCGACACCAGCCGATTCGGCATCGGAGGATGTGTTCTCCAGAATCACGGCTCCGTCTTCAAACCCGTCGCGTTCTGCAGCAGAAGCCTGACTGACACCGAGACCAGATGGGCGCAGATCGAGAAGGAACTGCTCTCCGCAACGTGGACGTGAGAGAAAATGCACATGTTCCTGTCCCGACTGCCGTCGTTCGAGCTGCATCTGGACCACAAGCCTCTGATCCCGCTGGTTAACACGAAAAATCTCGTGGATGCGCCGGTCAGATGCCAGCGCATGCCCATGCGCTTGATGCTATACAACGCCACAGCAGTTTTCGTTCCAGGGAAGCAGCACCTGGTGCCCGACTTCCTCTCACGTGCTCCAGAAGCAGGATGAAATCAGCGCTGTGCTTCAAGGAGACATACATGGATTCTGCGAGAGAATCTTCAGCGATCTTCCCGCCACACCGCAGCGTCTGGTGGAGATCAGCAAGGCGCAGCAAGCAGACGAACCCCTACAGCGCGTAGTTCAGCAGACTCTCTCTGGCTGGAAGGAGGGAGCGAAGCATCCCGACCTGCTGGACTACTCCGCCTCTCGGGGAGGGATGAGCGTTCTGTACCTAACGTGTGATACACTGCTGATGCACGGGCGACGCATCGTCATCCCTCCGAGTCTGCGAGATGAAGTACTCACTCGACTACATGATGACGGACTCTTCGGTCTAAACAAGTGTCGCCAGAGGGCAGCAGTATCGATCTGGTGGCCTCAACTCAGCATCGACCTAAAGCGTCATCTCGAGAGCTGCTCGTTCTGTCAGGTGAACGCGCCCGCCCAGCACGCTGAGCCACTGGTGACAACTCCAACGCCATCAAGACCGTGGACGCACGTTGCAGCAGACGTCTTCCACTTCAACAGCTGCAACTGGCTCGGCACGGTGAAGATCTTCAGCAGGTATTTGGAGATACAACGCCTCCTGAGTCTCACCAGCAGCGCAGTCATCGAGCGTCTGAAGCGCCTGTTTTCCCGCTCGGGGATACCAGACCTCGTGACAACAGACGGAGGAACGCAGTTCGCTTCAAGCTCGTTCGCCAACTTTACAGCGTCCTACGGCTTCACAAACCGTATCACAGACCCGCACGCGCCGTCTTCCAACGGAGCAGCTGAACGAGCCGTGAGAACCGCCAAGACGCTCGATGAACTTCGCCAGAGGGAACCCCACCTCGCCCTCCTCAACTACCGCACGACGCCTGTGGAGGCAACCGGATACTCCCCAGCCCGTCTCCTGATGGGACGCGAACTTCAATCTCTTCTACCCATCGCTCAGCC